CATGTTCCATGATTACGTTGTATAAATCTAAAATTGGTAATCTGATTGTATGCATGTGATTATAGTATAATTTCTTTCTTTGTAGATGATCAACCAGTCTACAATTAGTAATTTTTATTGTGTGATACACGGTTAATCTGCGTACAAATAGTTGATGATTGCGCCCAATCTTGCATTCACCCTTTCGTCCGTGGTTTTATCAGAGGGATGGTGGAGAATACCCGCATCTTAATATCCGAACAGGGAGAAGGTAATCTCTCAAGAGAGAGGTGAACACGATGTGTGGCGGCGAATGACGCATGAGATAACCATCTTTTTGGTGAAGCGTATTCATGTCTCTCTAGTTGACACGGGCGAAAACGGTCAAACTTTTTTTACATTCCTTCAAAAATTCCAACGAGAATGTAGTTGGTATCCCAGTGTGTTTCTTGCCAAAAACGATGACAAGGATTGCTGGTATCGTCCTTTGAGTTGTGCTGTCGGGTGAACTTTCTCTGTAACTACTGGGCGTGGTCATGTCTTCTCGTACGTTTTGCGTAAGAGACAGAGATCCAGTACAGAAGCTCTACCTTGAAATTTGCTTGAGTTCTGTGGGAACTTGGTCTCTCAGAACGATATTAACGGCAGCATTTTTTACAATTTCGATGGCTGGCCTCGTTAAGCTGGCTTTCTTTCTTGGCGAAAATTGAGCAAATGTTCGATAAGGGACATCACATTTTATGGTCTGGTGGCCGTTTTGTCTCTCACCTTCAAAGGAACCGACGCTCGATTTTCTTTTTTTTTGAGCTGCTATGATAATGAACCTTCCCGTTGGTGCAGCTTGAATGTTTTTGTTTATTCGTTTAAGCAGAGACAACCAATACATTATCAAAAATAAAATTCCAACAATTTGATTAAATTTTCCTATAATTTTGGTTCAAAGTTTGTAATTTTACCATTTTTCCATAATTTGTAACCTATCTTCCATTATAAATATAAAGTTGAATAAAAATTAACCAAGTTAAGATGAGTCCAACACATAAAACTAAATGTACGAGTTGCACAATATGCCGAGATCTTAGAATCAAATGCGTGAAAGTTAAAAAGAATGAACGCTGTAAACGGTGTGTTAAAAAGAATCTGGATTGTTTGTTTTTCAAACCTCAACATGTGAAAAATGAGATAATAAGATTGACGAAACTAGTGAAACAATATAAAGAACGCGTTCTTGAGTTAGAAAAAAGAAACTTTCAATTAGAAAAAAATGAAAAGTTAATCAAAGAAATACTATACGAATATTCTGATAAACAGACAGAATTGGAAAAGATTTGCGAGAAAAAGTTATAAAAACAAGACAAAAAAACTCTGTGAGAAACAAAGAAAACAAAATGCCACCCGTATTTTCAAAAATAAACAACGAGCAGGAAGAAAGCTGTATCCAACCACCCGAAAAACTGTTTAACACATACCTAAAAAGAAACGATGTTGCATATCAACTGACTCACCGATTGTTAACGGTTTTTGAAAAAGAAACGAGAGAATTTCTTGACAATTTTGACATCGAAGATATCAAACAATGTTATCAAGTGGAGAATTATATCTTTATTAACTGCTTGTGTTGTTCAGATTTGTATATTGAGAACATTAACGATCCCAACATAATTGAGAAATTATGTAATGAATATTCTTGGTTATTTGATAAAAATGAATAATAAACATTTTATTTGTATAAAAATATATCTAGTTTTTGAAAATTAATCAAGCTTTACATGCTTTTCTTTTTCTCTATCTTCTATTTCTGTATCATCTAATTTACGTTTAGTGCTTGATTCTATTTGTGGATCTAATTCTATATTATTTTCAATAAAATTAATGGGCTTTTTCTCAACCCAATACAATTTTTGACGTAAATTCTTATGCAATGATTCTAAATTATCTGGAATAATGATATTGAAAGGAAGATCACCATTCCAATATCGATTATATACCGTAAAACTATGATTGTCAACATCTACATTTGCAATCACGCCGCCCAATACTACATTCATGTCTATCTCTCGTTTCATGAAAACATCACCATCTTTCTCAAACAAATTTTCGAAATCATCATCATAAACGTATCTTTTTGCCTCTTCAATATTAACATTCTCTGCAAATTTAATATGAAATCTCCCATTAATAAAATCTAACAAATCACCTGGTTCATCAGGTTCCAACCACGCAAAGCAATAATTAACCTTCCCATCAACATATCGCCCCAACATCTTGATCATATAGCCATGAGTATACACTAATGATTTTGAAAATCTTCTATGCAAAGCTATTCTCGACTCCTCACTTTTAACGTAAACTCTGTTATCAAAAAAACGTTTTCTAAAACTAAATATATCGTCAAACAAATCTTGAGCTGTAAAAATGTTATACTTTGATACGACCTCTATAGGTTTTTTTGTTTCGTTGTTTGATAATACATTCATCTTTTTCACAAAGATTCAACAGATCTTGAAACTTCCAAGTATCATGTGATAGCTCTTGTTTGCAAATAACTTCTTGATTATTATATTCATCGAAATATTTTGAATCATTTGCTTTCTTGCAAATATCTTTTCCTTTTGCTAAATCCTTGCTTATTTTTTGAATCAATGATGTTTTTCCGGATCCAGAATCACCATAAAACAAGAAATTTTTTGGATAAAACTTTTTTTCTGGTATATGTTTTACTCTATTTTTTAACTTTTCTAAATCCTTTGAAAGTGCTTTTATACCTGAATATGTATCAACATAGGATGTTGGGATACCTTCTAAATTACTAATAATATCGATATTTGTTGATCCAACACTAAGATTTTCTATAATTTTTTGCTTTTTGTATTCATTATCTAGTCTAATTTCATTAAGTTTATCAACTGTTTCATCTGACGAGCCTTCTAATACACGAAATTTTCCAAAAATAAATGGTCCAGCACCTTCCTCATCTAACAATTCTTTCTTTCGTACACTTATACAAGAACTCTTACAAAGTGAACATTTGCTAATATCTTCTTTGATAGAAAAAGAACATTTACAAAACTTTCCTTCCTTTGGTTTGTGGTGGATAACACAACGGCCCCAATTTTTTAGCACGTAATCTTCATTGTCTTTTGAAGTTCCACTACATGTAATACCAGGTGGAAAAGAAATCCTCTCACACCCAACTAACTGCTTAACATATTTCATACTCACTCTTTTTGAAAATGTTAAAACTACATGTACATGAAGATTTCCTTGACTGGATCTTTCAAATTTTGCCACAGATCTTGTTAAGACATTACCCGATTTCTCAAATAACTTGTTAAACTCTTCCTCAGTTCTTGGAAAAGGCCATT